AATGGGCAAAAGTTACCAGTCGAAGCCAGTGATATGAATATAAATCACATTGTAGAAATCTGACCCAGAGAGAAAGGTTCAGGGCAGGAGAGCCTATCTGAGTCACGGCACCAAATGTTCGGGATTTATGCAAATAAGTGGAATATGGTAGGTTGAATAAGAGTGGCCTCCATAGACTCATACATTTGAATGCTTGTTCACCAGGGAGTGGCACTATTAGATGTTTCAAACTCTCTTAAATTCCAAGCATCTAAGCCTGTCCCTGGAACATCCCTAGAGTTTTGGTTTTGTATGTGTAATATATACATACATATTTTTTCTTTTGAGAGAAAAATATTTAGATTTTTATTTCAAGTTAAACTTCTTAGGGTTTTTAAGAGACAGGCATAAATTCCTTGATTTTTTTTTTCCTTTTAAGACTCATGGTTAGAGTTAAATGAAAATTTTGCCTTTTGACCATATTTTTTCACAGGCTTTTTTTTAATGGGCTAGTATGCGGATAGTTAAAATTCATATATGAAATAGTATGTATTGGATCTGCTCCAAGTTTTTTTAAGAGGTGATGTATATACTTGTTTGTTCTTTTTGAGTTTTTGTAACTGTTCTTTAATGTTGAAGTAGTATTTTAACATCTTGTTTTCCCAAAGACATTTAAAAGAAGAGACTTCCTTATGTTTTGTTAAGAGTAAAAAATGTTGAAATGTGGAATCTTGTAGAATGTGAAAATTTTGGCTTCTGTGTAGGCTGTCCCCCTTAGTCTTCGAGTTGGTAAACTGGAGTCAATATAGATGAGTGATTATGATATAAGAGTCACATAGAAATTTTGTTTATAAAATATGCAAGCATACATTTTATATTGTGTGAGGTATGTGTAGGTTTAATGATCTGTTCCTGTGCTTTTTGAGTTCTCCGTGAGTCAAATGTGTATCCTGACTTTTTAGGACTGTTTAAGACAGTCTCTTTGCTTAAGAGAGGCATAGGATCTGTTGTCAGTTTGGTAGGTAGAGTTATGAATAATTAAAATTACCCTTGAAGTGTTGACACAACATTACTGTGAGTGTATCCTACACAGCTGTGTTTTTGCTCTATACTTGAAACTTTTTGTTTCTTCAGATGAACTCCAGGTGAAGAAGATGGTTTGTGTTTAATGGTTATGTTGACTATGTTTTGAAGGCATATGTTAAACATCGAAACCATGCTATACTGGAAGATTTCCTAATTTGAGATAAATGTGGTGATTAAAGGAAAATTTAAGGAACGAGCAGATGCCTGTTTGAAGTTTCCTATCAGTATAGTTTGAAACAACATCACCTTATTGTTAGTCCTTTCTTAACAAAATAATTATATGTGTTTGTGTGAGTGCCTGAATGTATGTATGTACACCAGTTGTGTGTCTGGTGCCCACAGAAGCCAAAAGAGGGCATCCCATTGCCAGAAATGCTAGCTGCCATGTAATTCCTGGGAACCAAACCTGGGTCTTCTGCAAGAGCAGCAAGTGCTCTCAACCACCGAGCCATCTTTCCGTTGACTAGACATTTCTTATTGAAGGTTGAGAGTATTGTCATGTTTGGAAGTATTGTCTAAATTTGCAAATAAGTTTAAAATCAATTAAAAATTTAAGTCTTTTAAAAGAAAGGACAGGTAATTCAGGGTATTACTGGTGGATAGTCAAAATTATTAAATTTGTGGTCCCAAGTACACCAGTTTTCCTTAAAACCATGCTGAGTCAGTGTATTCTACACTTCATGTATTTCCTGTTTTGATGCTTACATTTTGAAATCTGTGAGGTTCTGAGGCAGAATATGTTAAGTTTAATATCAGGACCTTCTTTGAAGAGTTCTGGCTTTTGTTATCCTGAGGAGAATGTATCCATCATTCTTCTGGTTTTGTAAACTTCAGTGCTGGAAGGCATTCTTTGTATGCCTTATTTTTCTACTGATATTACCTATGTACAGTCCTCGGTAGAACTGAGGAAAAGAAATGTTTATCAAGATACTTTCAGTACAATTTTATTTTTCAGGGAATCTAGTTGAGAAAGCCTGGTAGGAGACAGATTGAATCTAAATGGAGACCATTGATTCTTACTACATAGATTTTCTTTGACGTGAACAGACACTGAATACTGATTTAAGGGTAGGTGATATCTTTCTTGTCTTAGTTCAGTCATTTTTATTTTTCATTTTATTTATTTATTTAGGCCAGTTATTTTAAAAATATGGGGTTTGTTGTGTTATCATTTGTGAATGTTATAGAATGTGATGAATCAGATAACTGGGAGTAAGGAGGAGGTTGGTGGGGCTCAGTGATTTAGGTTTTATGGAACCATCGGGGCTTTAGAGATGGTTCAGTGATTAAGTGCACCGGATGCTCTTCCGGAGGGACCTGGGTTTGATTCCCAGCACCAATATAGTGGCTAAAACCACTGTAACATCAATCCCTGGGGACCCAGTGCCCTGGCCTGACTTCTACGGGCATATGGTTCACAGACATACCTGAAAACAAAACACCCATGGTTAAAAAAAGAATCTTCTAGGTGACTAGTGCACAATAAAGTTTGAGAAACTATCCACTAACTTCTGGTTTACTTTTTTTTTTTTCCTTTTCAAATGCTTTAAGGATATATTACTCAATGTTAGAAACATTTAAATGTTACTCTCAGAATTATCTTGGAACAGAAGACTGTGATGTGAGGTTCAATAGAACCTTATTCAAAAGAGAGATTAACATATGAAAGAAAGCTTTTGATAGAGGAAATGCTGCAACCTGCCCAGCATAGGCTGGCATGTAACTATAGAACATAAAGGAGAAAGTTTGAGAAATACGGCATAAAAGTCCTCATCCTTCTACAGCATTAGCTATCTTTTAAAAGATTTTTTTTTTTACATTTTATTTAGTGTGCGTGTGTGTGTTTGTAATATATGTGGCAATCAGAACAGTAGGGGGCAGTTGGTTTTCTCTATCATGTGATAGGTCTCAGGGATCCAGTTCAGGCCACACACCTTAGCTGGCACACCTGCCCTGAACTGTCTTGTCGGCCTGCCGTTTAGTTTCTAATATTCACCACAGGTTTGGCCTGCTTCCTCCTTGCAAGTTTATTCATTTTTTTATTTTTATACATTTTTCTCTGCTCCCCTCCCTGCTTCTGCCCTCTCCCATGGTACCCATGCTCCCAATATACTCAGGAGATCTTGTCCTTTTCTACTTCCCATGTAGATTAGCTCCATGTATGTCTCTCTAAGGGTCCTCATTGTTGTCTAGATTCTCTGGGATTGTGATTTGTAGACTGGTTTTCCTTGATTTATGTTTAAAAACCTCTTATGCATTAGTACATAGAATTGTCTTTCTGGGTCTGGGTTATCTTACTCAATATGATGTTTTCTAGCTCCATCCATTACTAAGATATTCATTCTTAGTAAACTGCTTCTGCTTCTGTTGTTATCCTGTGTCCCTGTCTAAGCTTTTGTTCTGTTGCCCAAGAGCCTGGAAATCATGCTGGTGCACAAGAATTTGTTTTCCATCCATGTTAATTTTATCACAAGTGCTTACCTATCTCTGTATGCCCACTGAGTAGCTGGAACTTGAAGTCCTCTAGTAGGAAAATTTGTTTACAAGTTGAGTCATTTTACTTTCTCAATAGAATTTCTCCATTGTTAGGTACAGTTCTTTAGCTATTCTAGAAAGTTCTCACTCATCTTTATGCTCTCTCCTATGTTTTTAATGTCTTGCATTTTGTTTCTTATTTAATTACATGTTGTTAAGAGAATGACTTCTATAAGAGGTCAACAAACTAACTTGGTCACATTGAGCTCCAGGGTAGATTTGATACTTCTAAACATTGTTAAAATATTATTATCTTGTTGTATGAGGCCGCTTGTTCATTTCCTGGCCACCTAGACTCCCGGAATAATCATATAGAATCTATATTAATTAAATCACTGCTTTGCCTATTAGCTCTAGCTTCTTATGGGCTAGCTCTTACATCTTAATTTAATTCATTTCCATTATTTTATATTTTACCATGAGGCTTGTGGCCTACCGGCAAGTTTCCACCTGACAGCTTGCAAATTTCCTTTTTGGTGGCTACATGGCATCTTGTGTGACTCGGCCTTGTTTCTCCCAGCATTCTAGTGTCCCATGCACGCCCCCCCCCCCATTCTGCCCTGCACAGGCCTAAGACAGTTCTTCATTAACCAGTGGTATTCACAGCATATAGAGGGGAATCCCACATCATTTCCTGATTTATGTAATACCATTTGAAATTTGTTGAGACTTTATACTGTTGTATACAACATACTGTCTTAAAACTATTTCATGATCAGCAAGATGGATGACTCAGCAGGTAAAGGCTACCAAGCCTGATAATCCTGGGATCCAATAAGGTAGGAGAGAACCCCCTCCCACAGTTGCCCTTTGATCTCCCTGTACCATGACACACACACACACACATACACACACACACACAGGTGTGCATATACACACGTGCAAGCATGTGTGTGCAATGTAATTAAAAATTTCAAATGTACATAATGTATATTTTTAATCATAAAGTGTATGTTTCTGTGTGTATCTTTATTGAATTTTGATAGGGGTAGGGTTTGGGTATGGCATGTGAATTGGGCCGTCAGTCATTGATGTCTTTGTACTGCACATTGATGCTGGACTTTCCATTTCTTTCTGGAGGTCTGTTTTAATTTTTAGTTTTTAAAGCCATGCATATGAACTAAGAACTTTTTATATATGTTGTCTTTTATTATTGTTTAGAATCTTTACTTTAAGTCCCTTTTACCTTTTGCTCTAAAGTCTGTTTTGACTGATATGATAGAATTGTTATAGTTTCTAGCACATCTGCTTATTTTTTGCTGGGAGATTTTATTTTATACTTAAGAAACTAACATTGGTTGCAAGTCCTTCGTGTTTTTTATTTTCCTCGTATAGGTCAGTTTGTTGAGTTTGATTATCTGTGTCATTTCTAAACAGATAAATATTGTGTTTTGTTTCAGTTTTGAGTTTCTTATTTCTATGGATCACTGATTGAGTAAAAGATGGCTTTACCTCGGCTCACAGGAGCTTTGCGCTCCTTTTCAAATGTCACCAAGCAAGATAATTATAATGAAGAAGTAGCTGACTTAAAGGTAAATGTTTTTAGGTGAAAACCATTAAAAACAAAGAGTATGGGTATTTGACATTCAGTTTTTAGTTGTATGTGCTTAAAATGAACATTTTATCTTGTTTCTGTCCTGAGGAGATTGAGTATACTGTTGTATTATTGAAGTATACTTATGTTAAGCACCTCTGACTGTTATCAAAGGGAATAATCAAATACTGGCCTTCATCTTTTCTGTTAATTTTGTGATTTAGTTTACATTTATTTTGAATCAGCTGGACATGTTTTTAGGTCTCCTGTTAAATTCTTCACATATGAACCTTAACATAGGAATATAATATTAATTTCAGGTTTTATAGTTGGTCTCATAGTTGACTTGTCCATATAATTGGTAAGAGTACATTCAATGCTTAAAGAAGTTAGTTGTAAGGCCTTATTATGTTCAAAACCTTAGAAATAAATGGTAATAATAAAAATTATGGAACTCCAGATTCTTTAACAGTAATGTAGCTAACTGAAAATGACTGATGTGGACAAATTCCTTACATGACTGAGCTTTATAGTACTTAGCACTAAGTTTATGTTCACTATAAACATAGCTTCTGTTTGGACAGTGTGGTTAGCACTTTGGAGTTTTATGGAAAGAACGCCAGTCACTTTTCATATTAGTTGAATGACTGCAATTTCTGAGCAACAAATTAGGGCATGTGGTTTCACAGTGAATTTCTTCTAAAAGTAAACTTACTTATGTAGGTAAGTTTTATAAAATACGTCAATGTAATTATAAAATACGTCAATGTAATTATAAATACGTTATGAAAAGTAAGTTATACTAAGACGCATTGCAAATTCTATGTAAAACATTTGTGAGACTTAGAAAAGTTCTTAATCTATGATACATTAATTTATATAGAATAATATAATACGTTATAGGTTTGGTGGCTCTGCCAACACAAATTTTGTAGTCTGTAGAGTGGGAGTTAAAAATTCAGAATCAAGGCAAAGATTCTTTTTTCTGGAAACTCGTCTGTGAATTGTAGATAACAGCCTTCATAATGTATCTCCTAGGATCTTTCCTCTGTAGAAGCTTATCCCTGGCATTCTTGAGTGTCCATAGTTTGTGTTTCTGTAATTAAACCAATCAGATGGGACTATGACCTAACATTAATGGCTTGCTGAGGTATTGGAGGTTAGGATTTCAATATGAATTCTTAGAAGCAGTTTAGCTCATAATATATAGATTTTGACTAGTTTGCAAATGTAAGGAGTTTACTTATTTTAATCTTTAAATTATAGTATTTCTTTCTGAGTATGATTATATTGTATACTATTTCAAAAGGTAAATGAGCAAAAGCTGTCATACATATATATTTCATATTAAGAATGAAATTTATGGAGTCTTAAATCTATAAATGATACACTGACTTTTAGCAGAGAAGTTAAATGTTTGGCATAATCAAGGATTATAGTCCTCATGATGTATCTACTGTGTATGGGAATATAGAAGGCAGTTTATGAAGACCTTAATGTTCTTCTTTAGAAGAAAAATTTAAAGTTTTTTTTTTTTTTAATTTTTGGCTTTTCAAATTGACTGTATTGCAGAGTGGTAACATAATTTCCTGGTAGGCTGAAACTTCATTGATGTAGTCTTTGTACAGTGTTACAGTTAACTTCTTCACCTAAAGATTCACTCAGAAAGTGAAGATTATTTATTACCAGTCTTTTGGTAGACATCCCTCTAATGATGCAGAATTGTGTCAGACCAGGAAACAGTCTTCATAATGATTCTTACATTTCTCACAGTAATAAATATAAAAATTATAATACATATTCTTAATGAATATTAACATAATTTGTTTCCTGTTTTTACCTTCCTATGGCCTTGCAAATTATGCTGAAATAGTGATAATACAAAAGATTTTTGCAGTTTAAAAACATAAAGACTACGTACCTTTCCCCCATGTCATTTTATTTAATATTGTAGTATTTTAAATACTTTTGCTACCCGAGGATGGAAAATAAAATATTCAGTAAATTTTGTTTTAATGTGCCTTTTTAATCACAGATAGTGTTTCCCATATACAAAAGTAGAGATGAAAGTTAAATGAATCATTATACCTATGACCTTATTATAACAGCTAAAGTCATTTTATGGCCAGTCTATATCAAATATACATTTTCCTATTCTCTTCTTAAATTGTCCAACCTCACTTGAGATTTTAAAATTGAAGCAAGAAAGTAATGAATAATGAGCATCGTCAGTGCAAGCAGGAGTAAAGTTACAGTTCTTTGCTTGACTCACCAGTTCTTTATTTTGTTAGATTGCTTCATGACTTTTATCTATGGATCAAAGGCAGAGATCTGACATGAAACTTTCATTGCATTCTGTAATCAATTCTTGAGAAGGAAAAGATTTATGGTTTCAAGAAAAGAGTGTATATAGAAAATAATCTATATCTAACCTTTAGTTCCCGGGTCATGCTTTGGAAAACAGTGCTGTTTAAATGTGTTGAACTGACTAAGAAGGGGACTCTAATAGTCTTCAAGTGCCTTTTGTCAAAACATATTTTTATAATCATTATAAACTATATTAATACAAACAGAAAAGGAAAGGAATATAGTGGGATGTTTTCATGTCAGCTTAGGAATATTGAATTTCTTACTTTGGTATATGAATGATCTTGTTTTATAATTAAGATAGTAAACATTTATTTTAAAACATTTTTTTCCTTGCACAGCTCAATTTGTGACTTCTTAAATTAAATTCCTTTTGAGAATAATTGATTTATATTTGAGTAGGTACAACTTTGAATTCTGGGTAGTGCAAAATAGCTATTATGTAATGCAAATTATACATGATAAATAATGGATTGGAGAAAAACTTTAACCAGAATATTTTTATATTATACTCTTTTTCAGCTGAAGCGATCAAAACTTCATGAACAAGTTTTAGATTTGGGCCTCACATGGAAGAAGATAGTCAAATTTTTGAATGAAAAACTAGAGAAGAATAAAATGCAAAGTATAAATGAAGACTTAAAAGATATACTGCAAGCTGCAAAACAAATCGGTATAGTCCTTAACAAAACCAATATGGTTCTAAAATAGATTCCTTATAAGTTATATTTTGCCATATACCTTAGTAATAAATGGTAAAAATCTACAGTTTCCGACTAGATATTCCCAGTTGCATATAGGACAGTCTTATCTGTTAATGAATGTAGGACTGTGTGGCGGGGGTAGAAGTACACAATCAATTGTACACAATTAATTGCTCCAAACATTAAAAGTTCAGTCTCCCAACAGATGGCCACCTAGAGCAGAAGAGAATATAACTTGTACTTTGAACACTTCAGCTCCCAATTTTTACAAACATTCTCATTAGTTGATTATATTTACACAAAATTATTATTTGAAATAATAATACTTGATATTTAATGCAAGTTTACTCTCTAAAGGTTACAAACAAAGCTAAGTAAAACTAAGCTGAAATCGTAATAAAATTTCTAAGTTTGTACATTGGGTTGCATGGTGTCATTCTAAATTTTTGATAGTTAACGCTTCTGTAGTTCCATCTTTCTCAACTTCATCAGGTTTATACTTCCAGAATTCTGAAATCATTTTCTGTCTCGTGTATTCCTTGCCTTCCCCAAAATATCTTTGCTTTCCCCAATGAGCTGCTTACTGGTGACTTTCTCTCACTTCCTCGTAATTTCCATTCCTATGTCTGGAGAACTGTATATCCTGCTCACTGTACTGGGAAAAATTTCCCTACCGTACTAGAGATAGATGCTCCTTGTCATTTGAACTCAACTAGAACATTGCTTCATCACTGTAACCTTCGGTAGACTTCCGATTTCAAATTGTCATGTAACAATTCTCCTCCTCCTCTCCTCCCTTATCTCCTCCCTCCATCTCTTTCTCCTCCTCTTTTTTTTTTTTTTTGTAGATTTTCAAGATATTGGTGAGTGTTTCAATTATATTTCTTTGAATTGAAGACTGTAATCATCAGTTTAAAAAATTAGTGTCTGGGCTTCAATATATCATTTAAGTCTTATTGTTTTATAATCCAGTATAGTATTGAATAGACTGTCCTTACTGTTAGACTGAAAAGTAAATGATATGCATGTTTTGTCTCTTTTCTTTTTCTGAAGTTTTAGAGCAGTAGGAAAATTGAGTTTGCATGAGTCTAGGGGAAACAGAGTATGATGTGAAGACATTTATGATATTTTTGGCAGTCACACTGTTTTAAGAATATTGAAAAAATAATAGTAAACATACAAAGTGTATAGTTTGTCCTGATTTGATGTAACCCTGCTGCTCTTATTATCCTCATTTATAAGAAGTTATACCAGGGTTTGAATGAGGTCTTTTAAAAAACTATCCTTAGCTCCATTATAATAATACTTCAGAATACTTAATGAAATCAAAAAGTAAATTTTTTCTTATATTTCAAAAAATACAATTAGATTATTTGTCCAATGTTTGCTGTTTACAAGTCACATACACAACAAAACAGCTTAAGAGGTTAAAAAGATTCATGCAGTAGAGATAGAAAGTAGACTATAGGAGTTACAAATGGCAAGCAGATGGGTCAATAGAAACTAAAGTTTCTTAATTTTCTCTAAGTACATATCTTTCTCAGGGGCAGAATAAAACATTTGATTTTAACATCACAGTAACCGAATGGTTTTATTCCAGTTAGAATACAAATAATGATTCAATGAGAACTGAGGTACCTTGTTTCAGCATTGCAATTCCATTGCATGGAAAGAGCTGTTAGTTTTGCTTTCTAGATTTGTAACCACTAGTTACTTTGAGTTTTGACTTTTGTGTGTATCTTACTTTTAGTAAAATTAAGAAAAGTGTTAATCAGATATGAAAATCAATTGAAGAAGACACCTAGGCCTTCACATGTGGTGTGTGTCATTCTGTCATACACTGACACATATAAACATGAATACCCATACTATTTACTCATGTTCCCTTTCAAAGAAAAGTAGTGAGCAGAAGATAGGGTGGGCACAGTGATTTACATAGTTTGTCGAGATGGTCCACCATGGTTGTATGTGTACTGATAGCCATTGGTCAGCCAACAGTGTTCTGTTTGTGATGAGCATTTTGGTAGCTACATGTTCCACAGTATAGTTGTGCAAGGCAGTAAAAGGTTTATAGAGAAATAAACTTTGGGCAGGTAGGTTATGATTTAAGTATTTCAAAGTAAAATGTTATATGTGGATCCATGTTAGAAACAATAATAAAATAACATTGCAAATAGATATGAGATGTAAGGGAACTTTGTAACATTTTCAGATGCATAAACGGGGAATTTAGATTACTTAAAATGTAGCAAAACAGTTGTAAATTGAGGATTTGCCAATATTCAGGGTTGAAAGAGCATCAATGATTTCTAGACAGTTTTAGTTATCAGAATATGTACTTTGGTATGTAGGTAGTATTCCAAGAAAGTGGTTTGAATGTTTTTAAAAGAAAATATAATTACAAAATAAGTCAGGCACCTAATCTCTATTTTTGTAAACATGTTTATACCAAGTTGCTTGTCTTACTGTCTTTGTTTTAAATAAATGGAACAAATTTAAGTAAACAGTTCAAAATTATAATGTAATTTTCACATGTGAAGATCAGTTATCAAATGGTAGAACTATCATTTTAAGTTTGAACATAACGTATAAAGCAAAATAAATTTGACTGCATTGAACAGTTCACTATTAATATAAACATAAAAGATTTATTACTTTACTGAACAATGAAGCTCTAATTCATTAGAAAACTCATTTATTTGTTGACTACTTTTAACTTAATGCTTTTTATGTAAGGGCACAAGTTTTGATAGGTATTTTAATTCGATTTTTAAATTTAAAAATTCACCTTTTTGAAGAATTTCTTAACTACTAGGAAAGGCTATTGAAAAAAGTGAATTTTAAATTGTTGCGGGAGCCGCTTGTTTGTCCCGGCCACCCAGAACTAAAATAATCACATAGAAACTATATTCATTAAATCACTGCTTGGTCCATTAGCTCTAGCTTCTTGTTGGCTAACTCTTACATCTTAATTTAACCCATTTCTATTAATCTGTATATCACCACGTGGCAGTGGCTTACAGGCAAAGATTCAGCATGTCTAACTCTGGCAGTTCCATAGTGTCTTCCTGACTCTGCCTTCTTTCTCCCAGCATTCCCTTTAGTTTTCTCTGCCTAACTCTGTTCTCCTACAGCTCTGCTATAGGCCCAAAGCAGTTCCTTTATTAACCAATGAAAGCAACACAGACAGAAGGACCTCCTACACCATTTCCCCTTTTCTGTTTAAACAAAAAGGAAGGCTTTCACTTTAATATAGCAAAACTACATATAACAACAGGTATCAAGCAAGAGCTACAGTTACAATATTTATATCTACTTTATCTTTTACCATAACTAAGGAAAACTATAACTATAAATTCTTCAACTCCATCAAAGATTCCAGAAGGATATAATATTACCTAAGTATACAGGAAGTACATTTTAAGCAACTTCCGATACTCTAGAATTGACAGAGATATCTCGCTACCTGCATAGTCACCCAAAGTTCTTCTGTAACATTGGGGCATCTATCTTTAGCCTATAGGTCATAGTATCCAGCAGATTTTTTCACAAAGCAGGAAATTTTAAAGACGGTTCCACCTATACTGGCAGTTTGTCTGTCACATTTTTCTCTGTCCTGCAGAATGTCTAGCAGACTCTTTTATGAAGCAGAAACCTTGAAGGACCATCTCACCTTTAGGCAAGTTCAGCAGTTATTTCTCTGTGGATCTTGCATGTACAGTTAAGCAGTCCAGGAATGAGCACTTTCTTGCCCAAATGGCTAAGGAGCCTCTTTGATGCCCATCTGTCTCTCGAAGTAATTGATGCTGCCAGGAGCAGATATGTTTCATTGTCATGAAAAGTCCTAAGATACTATATTTTAAATGCCATAATCTGAAGGTCTCTGAAAGATTTGAAGAATACCTAACTAACTGAAGTATATCTTTGTCTGTCTAGAAAAACCTAACTAACATGACTACAAACTTGACTATTATACACTATTGTCTATTAACCTGTATTTCTTAATTACACATTGCATTTTTACATGAGCTGGACAAACATAATACCTTAAGATCAGAAATACATATATACAGTATAACAAAATTCACCTTAAGTTTGTATCAATAATGCAAGATCCATACCAATGCAGATCTTTATAGCATATCCCCCTTTAAATGTAAACAAACATTTATAGTCAAAATTTGGGAGTATGGGCGTGGTTCTGTCCGTACTGCTTCCCTGCTGTTTGGGCACACTGTTAATTAGGTCTTTCACGGTGTATCCTGAATGCTAGGTTCATCTCAGGAGCTGGGCAAAGTAATTTTTTTGAGGGTGTTCATGGCAACCTTTCAGGGGTCATCTTCTATCAAACCATATTGGTTTGGAAGCAATCCACAGGTTCTCATCCTCTGTGGAAAGAAGAGCAGAACCTCTTTTCCAAAGCAACCTATCCTTAGACCTAAATTTGTAAATCATGATATCTTTATAATATACATGCTTGTTTAGCTTAGCAGCCCATATAATGAAATGTCTCTCTGTACTTAGCTCATTCATAGTCAAAAATTCAAAGATAACATAATAATATACATAATCTAGACTCTGAATTTTTCATTTTTATGTGGCTTATTTTTCTTTATTCCTTTTAATCTATGACTATCTGTACTCTGTCTCTTTAAAGACTTTACCCTTTTCTTTTAAAGCATTAACTTTATTTTATGACTCTCTATACTCTTTTTCTTCTCTCTCCCAAGCCTATGTGCATTTATCCAACACTATGACTCATCTGGATTTGTCTTTATTGCAACATCTATAATTATTTTCTGACCAGAAGCACTTCTTAAAATGCTAAGCAAGCACTTAAGAATCTAAGCTGTGACATTACTAGGTCAAACACGGTACTGCCTGCTCACTCAGCACAGTCCAGCATGGCGAAGCTGCTTATTGCCTCTGAGAGACATGCACAGTGCTCCATCTCTAACCACACAGCTGGTCCTTGCTGCGATTAAGCAAGCTGCAGCATTCTGAGAAACCACACTCAAATGCTTCATCTCTCCAAAGACCCAGAGGTTGCGCTGGCAGCATAGCCCAGAAAGCCGGCATTTTAAAACATCTATGGTTTTTTTCTTCTGCTGCTGCTGCCGAGTCAGGAAAATTTCTTTTAAAGGAGCTGAGGCATGCTGCCAGAAAACAGCAAGAAGCTGTGTTAAACTCTAATTTTGTGCCTACAATTTCTTTTCATACTCTCAGGTTTTTAGTGGATTAAGCTAGCACACATTGGTGTGCCAGTTAGTTGCAAGAGCTACCTGTTCATCCCTTCCAGCTGTGCAGAACCAAAATAATCATACAGAAACTATATTCATCTAATCTCTACTTGGCCCATTAGCTCTATTTTCATTTTGACTAACTCATATCTTAATTTAACCCATTTCTATTAATCGTATATTGCCACGTGGCTGTGGCTTACTGGCAAAGATTCAACATGTCTGACTCTGGCGGCTACATAGCGTCTTCCTGACTCTGCCTTTTTCCTCCCAGCATTCTGTTTAGTTTTCTCCGCCTAGCTCAGTTCTGCTATAGGCCCAAAGCAGTTCCTTTACTAACCAATGAAAACAACACATAGACAAAAGGACCTCTTACACCATTAAATGTTTTATACAGTAAGGTTCTCTTAATATTTAGGAGAGCGCCTGCTAGCCAAACTCAGTTCTGCTCTTTCTCTGCCAGGTAAAAGTGATCCTGAGAAAGACTGTTACACTTTGGCTCTTCCTAAGCATTTTGGGATGTGCTTTACAGGTTATTGTGCTTTCACATGGGTCAGTTGTATTGAAACCATTGCATTTGATCTGTAATGATTTTTCTGAGTTTATAATTTTTTCACCATTGAAAGTTAACTCATGAATTTTCTCCTGCTTATCATATATGTTAATACTACTTTTTATGGTAACTGGTGGTTTGAATAAGAATAGCCCCTACAGACTCCTAGATTTGAATACTTGATCACTAGGGAGTGGCACTGTTTGAAAAGATTAGGAGGTAGTGGCCTTGTTGATGGAAGTCTGTCCCTGGGAGTGGACTCTGTGGTTTCAATAGCCCATGCTAAAGTAACCCAGTTTCAGTCAGTCAGTTGATCTCTCTGTCTGTCTGTCTCTTTTTCGCTGTCTCTCCCTCTCATTCACTCTGCTACTGATTGGGATTAATCAGAATATCGCTCTTAACTAATCAGTCACCATGACCATGGCAATTCTTTTTTTTTTGTTTTTTGTTTTTTGTTTTTTGTTTTGTTTTTGTTTTTCAAGACAGGGTTTCTCTGTGGTTTTGGAGCCTGTCCTGGAACTAGCTCTTGTAGACCAGGCTGGTCTCGAACTCACAGAGATCCGCCTGCCTCTGCCTCCCAAGTGCTGGGATTATACAAGAAAGCATTTAACTGGGGTGGCTAACAGTTTCAGAGGCTTAGTCCATTACCAACATGGTGGGAAGCATGGCAGCATGGAGGCATGGTGACTCTTCTCAGCAATATAAAATTCAAGACAGTAATATGCACACATTCTCCATATTACCCCAAGATTGTTCCATAACTTTACCAGTTACTTACCTACTATTGGAAAATTAAGTTAAATCCATGTTCAGTAATGTAACATGTTTCTTCTATATTTTTTAAAGCGGTTTATCTATCATTAAGATTTATTTAATAAATAGAATCAGACACACATCTACTTTTTAGGAACTTGCAGGGAACCTAGTGCAGTGAGAAAAATGTGAAATAAAGGATTGCTGTGAGTCTTGTTTAATGACTTATTTTCAGTTGTTTCTTATACATTTTCATGCTTGAGTTCTTTTAGCATAAGCAAGATTTTTTTAAAGAACAAAGTAAGGTAACTTAATGAAGAAGTTTTAATAAATTGTTTTTATAAAGAAATATTACATGCTGAAATGTTGGATATAGGTATAAATTGCATTGAAATTTTTAAAATTTTGTTTTATGGATGTGGGTATCATGTATATCTGTTTGTACACCATATTCATGTAGTACCCATGGAGACCAGAAGAGCGTGGTGAAGTTAAAGATGTTGTGATCTATTTTGTGGGTCCTTGGAATAAAAAGTAGATCATCTTCTGTAAGAGCAGTCATTGCTCTTAATTGCTGAGCTATCTCTCCAGTCTCATGAATTCCATTTTTTGTTTAGAGTTTTGTGACAACAATACCAACGTTGTTAAATTACCTGTAGAAATATTAAAAACCCAAACCTTTAAGCAATATAATTTATTTTAAAAAGTCATTTTTTTTTAAATACCAGGTGGTGTGAGGTCATGTTACATTACGCAGGCTGGTCTTGAACTACTGGGTTCAAGTGATCCTCATGCCTCTGCTTTCTTAGTAGTTGACTTTATGGGTTCCATGGTATTTGGAGGGACCTCGTCTTGAATAATAAGACATTGTTTTTTAGTTAGAGTAGAAAACAAGTACTAGATAGTAGGACTAGAGGAAAGCAACCAAACAATAAAAGATGGGGTCAGTTCCTGCTCTTGTAGGAAGACCCAGCTATCCGAACTGTTTAGTATTTTGAGGGATGATTTGAGCTATACTTTCAGGAAGATGCAAATGCTTATTGTCTTGTCAAATATACCATTATTGTTCAGATAGGTCACATTGATGTTAGGGCCTCTTAAAAATTTAAATTCTTTTTTTTTCCTAGTTTAAGATTATTCTCTGAAATTTTTGAAATTCAATTGTTTTCTCTTTATTTAAGATAATTGGATATGGGGCAGTTGACACCTTAAAAATAGGGTCTGATCATATACCTCTGTGAAGTTTTTTGTCTGCTTTAACATAACATCCTTCTTTCATATTGTATGGTATGGTAAATTAGATTTGTTTTAAACACACACACACACATATCCTAGTGATTTAAAATGCTTTGAATGAGAGCTGTATAGGCTTATCTGCAATTATTTCTTGTCATTTAAGTCTGTTATATAAATTGGAAAGAAAGCTATGAGTATGTGAGGTTTCCTTTGAGTTTCATGTCTGTAATTCTGAAGTATTTTAAAATCTTACTATAGTTTATCATCAAATTAATGTTTAATTTTTAAATAAATTTTATTTCATAGCTCATTTTTAGAAAGAGGCAAGTGTTTTTATTAGGTAGCTTCTGTATTTAATATAGACTAATGAATGGTTGGTTGAACTAAAATGCTCTTTGTTGATCAAACATAGTTCTTTGGGAATTTGGGAATGGACTTTTTTAGTCCTAAAATGATTTCAATCAAAAAGTGGAAGGATCTTATCTTTTTCTTTTTTCTTTTCTTTTTTTAGGAAGCACCAAGTTGAGTGATGATTCAGTTGAGCTAATACTTTTTTCTTGTTTTTGTTTTTGAATAGTTGGAGCAGATATTGGGAGAGAAGAAATTGAAAGTGGAGCTGCATTTCTCTTTATGACATTTCATTTGACGGACTCTGTTGGTCACGTGGAGACAAAAGCCATCAGACAGATGTTTGGTCCCTTTCCATTGTCATCTGCTACTACAGCTTGTAATGCCACTAATCGAATTATTTCTCATTTTAGTCAAGATGATATGACTGCTCTTGTCCAGATGGCAGAAAACCAGTGTAATGATAAAGTGTTTTTTGGTAAAAACTTAGCATTTTCCTTTGATATGCATGATCTGGACCACTTTGATGAATTGCCAGTAAATGGCGAAGCCCAGAAAACTATAAGCTTAGACTACAAGAAGTTCTTGAATGAACATTTTCAGGAGCACTACACCCCAGAACTCAAACCCGTAGAAAAGACAAATGGTACCTTTTTGTGGTGTGAAGTTGAGAAGTACTTAAATGCAACCTCAAAGGAAATGACTGAAGCACCAAGAATTGAAGATCTCTGCTGTACCTTGTATGACATGCTTGCTTCTGTTAAAAGTGGTGATGAACTTCAAGATGAGGTACAGTTGAAGTTTTGAAGTTGTATATAAACATGAACTATTTTACCGAAAAGCTCTTTAAAAATTAATTTATTGTTATAGTATTGGTCTTCAACCTAGAGCCTTGAACATGCTGAGTATATGCTTTAGCACCAAGATACATACTTTGTCAAGAATATCCTTTTAACCATAGCCAGCATGAAAGTACTCCCTTTAACATTCTGAACTGTTACTGTAATGAGCTTTCTAACTAAGTGCTTTTACATCGGAGGCACATATACTTCCCAGTGGGCTCTTACAAGACTGAGGGTAATGAGTAGTAAAAGTGGGATGCTCTTATTTAAAAGAATTGTTTAACTGCAGTAATTAATATTTTTACGCAGAGAAATATGTAGATTTAAATGAGAAATTGTGTGGTTGTTTTTACAAGATTTCATATTTCTAAGCATATTTCTAAATTTCTAAGCGTTGTGTGACAAAATAGCCTCAAATATTGGAAATTTCATTTGTATGTTAATTGCCGTTGATTAAGAAAATTTTTTGACCAGTTTCTGTTTGAAACAATAACTATTGAGAATCAAATTAATCTGAAATACTTGGCTGACTAGATTTTTTTTCCTAAAATAATTACATTATTTCCCTCTTACTTTTCCTCCAATCCTTCCCATGCACCCTGCCCCCACTTCTACTCTTGTTTTCTCACAAATTTGTGTCCTCTTTTTCTTTAATTATTTTATTTTACACACACATGTATAAATTGCCCCATCTGTATAAATTGTGTGTGTAAATTGCCCGTCTGTATATTAATTGTATGTGTATTATTTCATTGGCTAACCAATTGGTTACTTTAAGTATTCTTTAGTTGCCTGTAGTTTTTTGTCTAGGATTGAGGCCCATGAGATTTCCATTTTACAGGTTAGCATGTTAACCTTGTTCAGGTCTCTTTTTGGCATCTATATTGATGATACTTCATAGGTATATCAGCTCAGATATTCTAGGAGACATGGTCTCACAGCAACTTCCTGTTCCTCTGGTTTTTACAGTCTTCCTGCCCTCTTCTACCATGATCCCTGAGCCTTATGTGCAGGAATTGTGTTGTAGATCTGCTAGTTTGGACTGAGAACACATGACCACTTGTGCTCTGCATTTTAGTCCCTTGTGGTTTTCTGTAATGATATCCCACTGTTACAGAGGGAAATATCTTTGAGGAAGAGTGGCATATGACCATAAGGGTACATATTTAGAGTGTAGTTAGAAATTATGTTGGTTTAGTAAATTGGCTATTATAGTTTCTCCATCAAGATACATGACTTCACTAACCCTAGGTGATTTCCCAATTGTTGAGTGTCTCTTGAGTATTAATTAGAGACCTATTGGTTACCACCAAGGTATGTGTACCTCTCTTCCACCCCTAAGGTTCTTGTTTCATAATGTTTATTGTTGTATGTTGAGGACCAACTTTAACAAGTATACCACTTACCAGGGTGGGGTGAGATTAGAAAAATAAGTAAAGAACACGAAGACGCAATGCACATAATAAAACAGAAAACAGGATAGTACCAGGAGGGAGTCCCAGTGAATACTGATGTGTCAAGGTGTTGTGTTCAGAGGACAAATTGGCGAATCAATTTTTGCAGTAAGCATTTTACCTGCTGAGCCATCTCACCAGCCTGGTGCAGTAGATGTTTTATATAGTTTCACTTAAGAATATGCTGCATCTCATGTGTCATCTTTTAGTATATCTTAAGTTCATATTATAATGAGCTTTTATTATAGCATTTTTAGATAATGCATGCAATGTTCTTTGATCATAATTCATTCTCTGTTGCCCTTTCTTATCCGTTTCCATTCCATGTCTGTGGTAGTCCTACTTTTACTTTACTTTCATGTCCTATTTTCTTCCCTAAGTTCCACAGATATATTAAAGCGTGTGATGTTCAACTTTGTGACAATGACTTATTTTACAGTTTACTTATTCTACAGCTACAACCACATTCCTACAAATAACACAGATGGAAGAAACTGCTGTGTGAATGCCATTCTTTGGTGTTCATCCCTAGGCACCTAGGCTGATTCTATAACTTAGTTTTTCAAAGTACATTAGTGATAAACATGTCTGGGGGTATTTTAGCTATAACTGTATATACACAGAGTTAGTTATAATTATATGGGAGTTCCATGTTGAACTTTCTGAGAAATTTTCGTATTGAATTCTGTTCCTGTGGCAGTGTATACAGGATGCCACCATACTTGTGAGCGTTTCTTTTCTGCCTGGGTTGAAATGGAATCTCAGCTTTCTTTTGGTTTATACTTCCCTGGTATGCTAATATATTTTTATTTAATTCATTGGTCATTTATATTTCTCAATTTGAAAAGTGTGTGTTCAATTTATTTACCCATTTACTGATTGAATTGGTTTTGTTTTGCTGGTTTTTTTTATTTATATTTATCCTGGAATTGATCCCCTACAAGATAAATATCTTGTACTAAAGATTGTATTATTTGTTGTTCTTTTGTGTACTTTTTGGTTTGTGTATATATCCTGAAATTGATCCTTTGTCAGATGAGTATCTAGTAAAGAATTTTTTTTCATTATGTGGACTGTCTCTTTACTCTCAGTTGATGATTTCCTTTGCTGGGTAGGGCTATTTTATTATTTTAGTGTGTCAGTGCTTTTTTATTTTAATTTCTTTTTAGATTTACTTAGTCTTTCATAATTTCATACAAATACAATATATACTTTGATCAATTGAATTGTACTTTGATCACATCCTCTCCCCCTATTATTCTCTCGCATCCTCCTGCCCATCAAACTCCTTCATCTTCCTAACAGGTCTTCTACTGTCATGTCCTTTTGTGTATGTGCTCCACTGCATTTAATTAGTGTTGCCTTCCTGAACATGAATGAAAGGTTACAAGGTCAATTTACCAGACTATACTACTACAGCTTAGGACCACTCCTGTACAGCTCCCCAAGGTGGGGTAGAGCTTTATCAGCCCATTCTTGTCCATGGTTGAATGTTGGTGGACCCAACCTTGTGCAGATAACCACTACTGTTACATGTTTGCATTTATAACAACCAGGTCATATCTAGAACACAGTGTTCTACTGTTTTCCTTCCAACCCTCTGACTCCTATATTCTTTTGTCCCCTTTTATGTCATATTCCTTAGGCTGCGGAGGTGGTTTTGTAGATGTCCTAGTTAGGGCTGAGCATTCAGCAGTTACTTGTTCTTACTATCTTGAGCAGTTATGAGTTTTTGCATTGATTGTTGCCTTCTCCAAACAGAACTTTCTCTGAAGTATGCTAAGGCAGTGCTCATCTGAACAGCTATTCTTAAATGCTTAGAATGAAGTTTGACACCTTAAGATGTCAGAAGCAGGTTATCCCTAGGGCTTATGACCAAACATGGGCATTTGACCAGGCTTACAAGATAAAACATGGATTCCTCTAGTGGAGTTGCAGTTATGCCATTGTTTTTACCAGTGAATGCATTTAGAGTTTTTTTTTTCTATTTTAAACTTATTTAAATTCTTATATTTATTTTACTATGTGAGTGTTTTGTCTATATGTAAGCATGTATGCCATGTGCATGCTTGGTGTCATGGAGACCAAAGAGCTTATCAGATCCCTTGGAATGGGGGTTACAGGTGGTGTAAACATCCACTTGTATTCTGCTGAGCCTATCCGCTGGCCTCTGCAGAAACAAGTTCTCTTTGGTATGAGCTATCTCACACCAAATCAACCTCAAAGCTTTTTAAATTATTTCCTGAACTGATGGAATGTTTATTTTTGGTTCTGAGTATTGAATTCAGATCTTTCCACTGTTTACTTTTATCTCTCACATAAGCCTATAAAAAAGAAAGTTATAGGGGTAGTTATTTGATAGCAAAGTTAATCTTTTCTTTTCCTTTTTTTTTCTTTTTATTTAGTAGTTCTTCTAATCAAACCTATGACCTTTTACATGGTTAGTCAAGCTCTTTTTTTTTTTTTTTTTTTTTTTTTTCGAGACAGGGTTTCTCTGTAGCTTTGGAGCCTGTCCTGGAACTAGCTCTGTAGACCAGGCTGGTCTGGAACTCACAGAGATCCGCCAGCCTCTGCCTCCCGAGTGCTGGGATTAAAGGCATGCGCCACCACCGCCCGGCTTAGTCAAGCTCTTTACCACTAGGCTTTGTCCCTAGCTCTTGGGTTTCTGAGACAAAATGGCAGTAGGTAGCATTAGTTGACTCTGAACTCCTCATGACCATCCATCCTCTGGAGCACTGGGACTACATGTCACATCATGCCCAGCCTTTAAATAATCATGTTGTCTACTGTTGTAGAAATTTATCGTAACCATGTAGACATATTTTCACGTTACTTAAGCATGTAAAAAGCTCTCTACTGAACATATTTTTGTTCCTTAATGTGTGCTTTTCCATCTTTGAGCATAGGTTATTGATCCAATGACTCTTTGACCCTTGACTGAATAATTTTTCTATTTAGACTGTTGTCGTTATGATTAGAAAAACTATAAGATTCCTTAACCTGTTGAAATTTAATTATTTTAGAAATTATTAAAAATGACCCCTTAGTATAGTTAGCTACATTAGTTACAGGAATGCTACCATGTTTTAAATGACTGTTATGTATGAGCTTGCATCAGACTGTCTCTCTTGACATATCTATTTTCCTCTCAGTCTTTCAAGTTGTCTATGTATAAAATTGGAAACAACAAAAACCAACTGGAAAAAGGTCTCCAATTCAAAATTCAAAACCTATTCCTTTTCTGATTTTTCCTGATCCCAGAAGGTGGAAATTATTTGGTTAGATTATCTTGTGATTGGAGATTATGATTTCTTTTCTTAATTTAATAATCATTTTGTTAAACAGTTATTAAAAATGACCCCCCAGTATAGTTAGTTACATTAGTTACAGGAAAGCTACCATGTTTTAAATGACTGTTATGTATGAGCTTGCATCAGACTGTCTCTCTTGACATATCTATTTTCCTATCAGTCTTTCATGTTGTCTATGTATA